GCATCCCCTGGCACCTGCTGACTGCCTCATATGTCCCGGCAAGCTGGGAAAAAAAAGGGACATGGGGGTGCAGGGATGATGCTGGCAGGGATGAACCCCCTGCCCACTGCACCCCTGCTGACCCTCACCTCCCCACAGGGACCTGGCACCCCGGGACCCCTCAGGCACCTCGGACCCCTTTGCCCAGGTGTCGTGCTGTGGGCACATGTTGGAGACAGCTGTGAGTCAGGGTGCTGGGTTCTGGGACCCAGAGGCTCGGGCAACTGGTCTCCCAAAGCCACTAGTCCCTGTTCCCAACAGGTGATTAAGAAAACCCGTTTCCCACACTGGGATGAGGTGCTGGAGTTCGAGCTGCCAGAGGGCAAGCTGGGGAAGGCTGTGCTGAGTGTGGAGGTGTGGGACTGGGACATCGTGGGCAAGAATGACTTCTTGGGACGGGTGAGGACCTTGGGGCATACTGGCATAGGGCTGTGTACTGCCACCTCTGCACCCCATTGCCTCCCCGTGCTTGGGGGGATACACAGGGATGGAGGCTATGACACATCCAGACCCTCTGCGGTCCTGGGCTCTACCCCAAGCAAGGTGCAGCACAGGGTGCTGCAGTGTGTCCCCCCACCCGGACTCTGTCTCCTGTCTCCCAGATCGAGTTCCCCTTGGACACCATTGGCACAGATCCCACCAAGGGCTGGTTCCAGCTCCTGCCCTTCCCCAGCACTACCGAGGCCCATGGGTGAGTGCACTCGGTAGGGACAGGCAGCTGTGCCCAGGGCAGCATGGGGTGGCCCCACATGGAGGGTGGTGGGCACAGGACCCATCTGACCCACCCTGTGTCATTGCAGGGGGCAGCTGGGTGCCCTGCGGCTGGCAGTCAGGCTGGTGGAAGACATGGTCCTGCCCCACCACTGCTACCAGCCCCTCATCCAGCTCCTCACTGAGCCCATCCTCTGCCCAGGCCAGGTGGGTGCTGAGGGTGGAGAGAACTCAGGGGTGGCTGAGGGCCACCCCAGAGCGGGGCCTTGCCATGCCTACCCTGTCCTCCCCACAGCCCCTCGATGGCACAGCCCTGGCCATCCTGGAGGAGGTGACCTCAGGGGAGAGCCGGCAGGACGTGGCCACCAAGCTGGTGAAGATTTTCTTGGGGCAGGGACTGGCCATGCTCCTCCTGGACTATCTCACCACCTGCGAGCTGGCCAGGACCAGTAAGTCCCATGGCCAGGACACCACCTGCTTCCCAAGAAACCCCAAGCCAGGGGTCCCTCCAAACCTCCATGGGGAGAGGAGGAGGGGCATCAAGAGGGAGGCAGGAAAGGTGCTACATGTCCCCAGGGTCAGGCATACCAAGGACAGCTGGGGCATCATCCCATGTGCTCCTTGCCATGGCCTCTGTGCTCTTCCAGCTGATCCAAACACCCTCTTCCGCTCCAACTCACTGGCCTCCAAGTCCATGGAGCAGTTCATGAAGGTGAGTGCCAGAGGGAACACTGGTGGGTTCCTTGCTGTGCCCTCCATGATGACACAGGGCATAGAGACAGATTGTGTCCCATCCCTTGCAGGCAGTGGGGCTGCCCTACCTGCATGAGGTCCTGAAGCCCGTGGTGAAACGCATTTTTGAGGAGAAGAAGTATGTGGAGCTGGACCCCAGCAAGATGGAGCTGAGCCGTGGCAGGTGAGCACAGGTGGACTTCAAGGGGGGACATGGTGCCTGGAATATCCCATGCCATCCCTATGTCCCTGCAGGAGGGGGTCACCTATTCTGCTGGACCCAGGGGTCACCTTGATGGGTTTTAGCCAGTTCAGGGTGGCCTGTTCCTGGAAATTGTGTGCCCCCTGACCCAGCATTGTCCCTGCAGAAGGATCTCCTTCAAGGGGTCCCTGTCAGAGGCACAGGTACAGGAGAGCAGTCTGGAGCTGCTGAAGGGCTACCTGGGGGACATCATCGATGCCATCGTGGGCTCAGTGGAGAAGTGTCCCTTCCCCATGAGAGTGGCCTTCAAGCAGCTCCGCAGGCGGGTAGAGGAGAGGTTCCCTTTGGCGCAGCACAAGGTGGGTCATGTGGTGGGGCTGGGGGTCTGAACGACAGCAGGACCACCACCCTGAGCCCTGAGCTGTGTCCGTCCTTGTCACCATCCTTGGCAGGAGGTGCAGTACTTCTCCATCAGTGGGTTTCTCTTCCTCCGCTTCTTTGCTCCTGCTGTGCTCACCCCAAAGCTCTTCAGCCTCCAGAAGCAGCACGCTGACTCCCGCACCACTGCTGCTTGCCAAGGTGTGGGGAGCCCAAGGGGGGACAGGGAGCCTGGGGAGGGATGGGGACCCTTGGAGAGGGTGAGAGAGCCCAGAGAGGCATGAGGATCCCTGAGTAGCCTGGGGAGGAATAGGGATCCTTGAGGATAGATGGAAACCTTTGGGGAGAGTGGGGACCTTGGGGAGGGATGGGGACCCTGAAGACATATATGGAACCTGAGGAAAGGCAGAGACCCTGGTCATGGATGTGGATCCTGGGTCTCAAGGAGGGATGGGGAGCCCAGAGGACTTCAGAGAGGGACCCCAGAAAGGACAGAGACTTCAGGAAGGGATGTTGACCCTGTGGGATGGGGATGCCAGGAAAGGATAGGATGGGGGCAGGGAGAATTTGGGGACCAACAGGGGGGGGATGGGGACCTCAGGGAATGATGGGGACCCCAAGGAAGGCAGAGCCATTCCTGCCCCCATGCCACAGGTTGGCTCCTTCCTGTGCTGCTTGAGGCCAGCCTTGCCCATCCCCAGCCTGTGCCACCATGCACTGGCCAAAGTGCAGGAGCCACCCTTGGGCAGCATCTGTGTTCCATCACCCCTCCAGATGCTCCTCTTTTCCTTTTTCCACCCCAATCCTTGAGCACTTGGGGTTCAGGGAAAGCAGCCAGAGGGGTTCAGGGGTTCACACCATGGGGGCACGGCAGTGTGACCCCTTCCCTGCATGGGGCAGGCACTGCAGAGCATCGGGAACCTGGGGCTGCAGCTGGGGCAGGGCAAGGAGCCATGGATGGCCCCACTGCACTCCGTCTTGCTGTCCAGTGTCACCCGTGTCAGGACCTTCCTGGATGACCTGGTCACCGTGGAGTGCACCGAGGGTGAGTGGACACAGCGAGGGCATGGGGGCATCACTGGTGCTGGGTCCAGCCATGCCTGTGCCTGGGGTGGCATCACCATGTGGGTGCTGCAAGGATGTCCATCTGGGGGAAGTGGTGGCACTTGGGGTGACACTGCTGCCTCCCTGCCTGGCTGTGCCACAGTGGGTGAGGAACCAGTGCCGCTGGCTCTTCCCCACCTCTTGGCCACCGCCAAGGAGGGGTACCTGCACACCTGCACAGCGGGGGGGTCTGCCCTGCTGCCCCAATTCGCCTTCAAGAAGAGGTACTTCTGGCTCAGCACCCAGGCCCTGGCCTACTCCAAGTCCCCCAAGGCGCAGGTGAGTGCTGCCTGTGACCCCCACTCCATGTTGGGTGCCTGGGGCTGGGGGATACAGACAGGGGCATATGTTTTGGGGTGTTTGGGTGTCTCCAAGTGTGCTGCTCCAACCCTGTGCCGTGGATGTGGGTGGTGGAGCTGGTGGGGGACACAGATGTGGGTGCAGTGAGATGTGGTGTGTGGGGGTCTCCAGGTGCACATCCCAATGCCACAGATATGGACAGTGGGTAAGGATGTGGTTTTGGGTGTTTTGGGGTTCCCAGGTGAGCTGCTCCATCCCAGTGGAGAAGATACGAGCGGTGGAGAAGGTGGACGAGAGCACCTTCCAGCATCCCCATGTCATGCAGGTTGTGGCACAGGATGATACTGAGCAGCTCCACACCACCTACATCCAGTGCAAGGTGGGTGCCCTCCATCCAGCCCTGGCACCCCAGGAACCCCCTCTCCACAGCACCTCAGGAGACACCTCCCTGGCACCCAGCCATGGGGCACCCCCAGGTCCCATGGGACAACGGGAATGGGAATGGTCCTAAACCCAGCTATACCCAGGCACTGGCTGTACTGGGAGCACTGGGATGCCCAGCCCTGGGTGTACTGGGGTCATGGGGGTAACTGGGGAAATTGAGGTATTCTACCCTAAGTGGACTGGTGTCACCGGGATACTCTGTGTCCTGCAGTGCCATCTCCCCATCAGTTTCTACTGAGCAGCTTTGCCATCAACCTGTCCCTCCCAGTGATGTGACCCCAGTGCCCACAACCATCCCAGTGCCCACCCCTGCTGGGGACCCAGTTGATTCTCTCCATGCCCACTCCCACTCTCCTCCTCCTTCCCCACACTGGTAGTGCCCAGCACAGGGTGCACTCCCAGCCTCCCTCCCTGTTCCCACAGAGTGCCCCAGAGCTGTGGCAGTGGCTGGGGG